AAGTGTACACATATTATGTGTAGCCAGTAATTACACTGGAATACATGTACAGGTAACACATATATGCATTACTATTTTTTGCTTGACATGTGAAAATGAAGGTAGGTATGAGCACATGACTTTATTTCAGGGGTGCATACACATTACCAACTTGCCATAGTAATATAAACTTGTATGTATTCTATTGTCATCTATGACATGTCAGTTTAAGGTAATAACTTGAGTAAAGGTAATGTCCACAAGACGACAGTTTTGTCTCTGAGCACTTGTAGAATACTTACACTTTTTATATGTATGAAAAACAAAATGAAATAATGAAATAATGAAATGGTTGTGATGTTGGAGAATAACCACTATGGTATATTTTTTAGCCTTATATTAGTCATTGATTAGATGGTTTGTCTGTACCTTGGTGTCCGGACTTAAAAAAATAATAATTGCAGCCACATATAATTTCAGGCCTCTGTCATGGGATTTTAGTATAATGTGTAGGTGCACGTGGCTAGTGGAGGGAAGTCGTCCGGCACTGGCATAACTTTTTTTTACTTTTGCAAGAGTTTTTTGCCCGGTGAACCCGTCTTTGTTTTTACATTATACCAAATATCCGGTCACGACAATAACATCCGGTGATGAGAACGATGTGAAGGATTTTTAGTGTTAGTGTGTATGGTTGACAGTGCATCAGTCCCCGTTTTTTTGACTTTATATTAATGTATGTTTATATTATCTTCTTCCTATCACTCAATCTGTTCTTTCCTTTTACTTTCTTCTTCTTTGTGTCTCTATGGTGTCATAGAACTGACAAGGTGACATATACAAATTTGATTTTTTTTATGTACATATCATGGAAGAAATTAAGATACTAACAGCAAACTGCCAGGGCCTGTGTGATAAGGGAAAACGTAAAGATGTATTTTCATATTTAAGAAATAAGAATTATAACATATACTGTATTCAGGACACACATTTTACTGTTGAAATGCAAAATATCATAAGGTCAGAATGGGGATATTCCTGTCATTTCAGTTCATTTAGATCAAATTCAAGAGGGGTTGCAATTTTAATTAATAATAATTTTGAAATGAAGGTGAGGAATGAAAAGAAAGATACAGAAGGGAACTTTATTGCTTTAGATATATTAATAGGAGAAACAGAGGTAACTTTAATAACACTATATGGTCCAAATATAGATAGGCCACACTTTTATGAACAAATAGTAGATGCTATTAATGAGTATAACAATGAATATTTTATTGTATGTGGTGATTTTAATTTGGTTCTGAATCCTGATTTAGACTATGATCAAAATTATAGACATATAAATAATCCAAAGGCTAGGGATAAGATAATCGAATTAATGGAAGAACTAGATATGATAGACATTTTTAGAGAACAACACCCAAAAATAAGGAGGTACACATGGAGAAAAACTAACCCTATAAAACAAGCTCGTCTTGATTTCTTTTTAATATCTGACAATTTGGTAAGAAATGTACAAAAATGTAACATAGAGACTGGCTATCGATCAGATCATTCCTCACCTTCTATATCATTTAAGTTTAATGAGTTCAAAAAAGGAAAGGGTCTTTGGAAATTTAACAATTCATTATTGCACGACTTAGAATATCTTAATATAATAAATAAGCTTATTTTTGAAGTTAAATTACAGTACGCTCTTCCTGTTTACAATTTTGAGAATCTAAATATTATCTCTGACAATGATATTCAATTTCAAGTTAATGATCAACTTTTTTTAGAGACATTATTATTTGAAATTAGGGGCAAAACAATATCATATTCATCTTACAAGAAAAAGCAGCAAAATATACAAGAGAAGAATCTTATTGAAGCAATTAATTCTCTAGAAGCCCATGGCAGTATAGATTTTAATCAAGTAGAAGAAAAAAAGAAGGAATTAGAAAGAATTAGGCAACATAAAATGAAGGGAAATATCATTCGATCAAAAGCTAAATGGGTTGAAGAGGGAGAAAAACCAACAAAATATTTTTTCAATTTAGAAAATAGAAATTTTACTTCGAAAATTATTCCAATGTTAGAAAAAGGAAATGGGGAAATTATTAGAAAACAGGAAGATATTTTAAATGAAGTTAAATTATTTTATGAACATTTATATTCAAGTAATAGTAATATTGAAGATGTTAATCTAGATGCATTTTTAAATACCTATAACAATAATGTTCCTAAACTAGATAAAACAGAATCATCATTATTAGAGGGTAACATTTCATTAGACGAAGCCTCAAATACTTTAAAAAATATGAAAAATGATAAAAGTCCTGGGTCAGATGGTTTTACAGCTGAATTTTTTAAATGTTTCTGGGGGAAATTAAGTAATTTTATAATAAGGTCTATCAATTACGGATTTATGAATGGAAAATTATCTATAACTCAAAGACAGGGTATAATTACATGTCTACCCAAGGGAGACAAACCCAGGCAGTTTTTAAAGAATTGGAGGCCAATTTCATTACTAAACATAATATATAAAATAGCATCTGGTTCAATAGCAGGTAGAATAAAAACAGTTTTAGATAAATTAATAAATAGGCATCAGACTGGTTTTATTGCAGGGAGGAATATAGGGGAAAATACAAGGCTAATTTATGATATGCAGTATGCAGAAGAAAATGAAATTCCTGGCATGCTTTTAATAATAGACTTTGAAAAGGCTTTTGACTCTGTTAGTTGGGATTTTATAAACACAGTTTTAAATTTTTTAAATTTTGGGAATGATATATGTAGGTGGATAAAAAATTTACATACTAATGCAATCTCTTCAATTAATCAGGGAGGAAATCTTTCAAGTTTTTTCGAAATAAAGAGGGGTTGTCGGCAGGGCGATCCAATCGCACCTTAAATATTTATTCTATGTGTAGAAGTACTTGCTATAAGATTTAGACTTAATAAGAATATTAAAGGTATTAATGTAGATAATGTTCCTATTTTATTATCTCAGTATGCAGATGATACTTCAATTATATTAGATGGTACAAAAAGATATATGAAAGAATCATCTAATGAATTAAACAGTTTTGCAAAAAATTCTGGATTAAAAGTAAATAAGAGTAAAACACAAGTTGTTTGGATTGGCAGTAAAAAATATAGTAATGATACTTACTTTTCAGAGTGGAACTTACAATGGGGAATTACAAAATTTACAGTTTTAGGCATTGAATTTAATGTGGACTTGCACCAAATTCCAAAACTTAACTATGATAAAAAATTAGTAAAGCTCAAGGCATTAATTAAAATATGGAATAGAAGGATTTTAACACCAATAGGAAAAATTAATATTATAAAGTCCCTTCTTATATCACAGTTTAATCATCTTTTTATTTCTTTACCAAATCCAGAAGAATGCTTTATCAAAAATCTGAATACTGAACTTTATAATTTTTTATGGAACAGCAAATCAGATAAAATAAAAAGAGACATTGTAATTAAGAATTATCTGGAAGGGGGACTCAAAATGCTACATTTACAATCATTTATAGAATCTTTAAAATTAACCTGGATTAGGAGACTATATACAACAGAAGGAAAGTGGCATATTTTTTT